TGCCCGTGCCCGGTCCTGAAATTCCCGTGCTCGGTCCTGAAATGCCCGTGCCCGGTCCTGAAATGCCCGTGCTCGGTCCTGAAATGCCCGTGGCCGGTCCTGAAATGCCCGTGCCCGGTCATGAAATGCCCGCATAATCGAGGTATTATAACGTGCCTGCCAACCGCTGTAAGCCTGAGATCGGGACAATCACATACCTACGCATGAAAACGTATACAAATGTAACTGCGGCATGCAAATACAGTCAACTTCGCTAATAACGACTGCGGATATAACGACAATTCGCGAATAACGACAGCATGCCCATGCCCAGAGCAAAGTCCCATCCCACTGTAATACATATAATGAGACTTCGGGTATAACCACACTTCACGAATAAGGACACTTTTTAGATGCCCCGCCGAGTGTCGTTATATGCAAAGTTGACTGTACTGTACTTTTGGCTGCCTTTTACTACCCTCGATATCGGTACGGTCTCGGCCAAATCTGGATTTGTGGTAGGTACAATATTAATTTTTTTGCTTGATATTCAAATGCACACTTATTCGAATCTGATGACGATGCGTCTCCAACGATACTAATGTGGTTTATAAACATTTCGTGGTATGTTTTTTTGCCACAAAATATGGGTAAAGTGTAATATTTATTATTATTATTATTATTATTTGAAACTCGGGTATTGAGCCAATAATAAAAGTAGAAAGGAAAAGGACATATGGAAACGAGTTAAGAGTAACTCTCCACCACTGTAACTAGATACTATATACAGTCAGAAAGTGCAACAACTAGGCACAAAACTGACAGAGTACTGAGACATTCGACGTCCTGACACCTTGCTTCAACACATCTCCGTAGCGCTAACCGACAGCCTTCCAACTTGGAAGGTTCAAGGTTATGGAAAGACCAAAGAGGGGAAGGCAAGCGCAACGAAAACGAGCACAAGCTACAGTCCCAACGGAACAAAGAATGTCGATTGTCACTGGACGATGACGAGACCAGTAGGCGATTTGACAAAGCGGTCTAACTACAATTCGAAGCAGCAAACTAGGTGTCAGGATGTCGAATGTCTCAGTACTCTGTCAGTTTTGTGCCTAGTTGTTGCACTTTCTGACTGTATATAGTATCTACTTACAGTGGTGGAGAGTTACTCTTAACTCGTTTCCATATGTCCTTTTCCTTTCTACTATTATTATTATTGCAATAAAGAGAACAAATTCTGCAGTCATCGCCACACTACAACGAAGTCATGAAAGTTTACCAGAATTAATTTTCTTGTCACATTCATCAGTGGAAAGTCGTGACTGAAGAGTAACCATGCTGAACAATGATTAAATATACATTCAATGATGTGTTACGAGAACAAAATACAGTGCCAAAATAGAATGAGGGAAGGTGAAACAATAGAAGTGAAGTGAGAGCTAAGTGCAACGGCGGGTGAGAAACTAATAATTATAACGCTAAAACTGTGTAGTGAGACAAACAATCATGCTGTGCACCTACGAAAACAATTTTAACGCAACTACATGTTTCTTCTGCTTACAAAGATCAGGCTTATGCAAACGAATACAAACAGCCTCAAGTACTTTCAACTGACTAGCATGCCGTGCACGACAAAGAACAGAAAAACTAAAATCATCATACACCTGCAGACACTTAGGGTGAGACAACAAGTGAAGAAAAACGGCAGACTTCTTACGATCACAATCACCATCTGATTCCTCGTCTCCAACGACCGCAACCTCGTCCTCCGTCTCATCTCCCAACTCGTCCTCAGTGTCGTCCTCCGTGTCATTCTCCTCATCAACACCGATCGGTCCCAGGCTCGCTTCATGTTGTTTAACCTCTGTTCGTTGACTCCTCCTTTGATCTTGATGGTAAATTGTTACCATTGTTGTTGTTGTTGTTGTTGTTGTTGTTAAATCTTGTGTTCCCAGTGTCCTCGCCGGTGCTTGATCTCCAGTACTGTAATAATTCATTGAATAATTCACTTGTTGTCTCACCCTAAGTGTCTGCAGGTGTATGATGATTTTAGTTTTTCTGTTCTTTGTCGTGCACGGTATGCTAGTCAGTTGAAAGTACTTGAGGCTGTTTGTATTCGTTTGCATAAGCCTGATCTTTGTAAGCAGAAGAAACATGTAGTTGCGTTAAAATTGTTTTCGTAGGTGCACAGCATGATTGTTTGTCTCACTACACAGTTTTAGCGTTATAATTATTAGTTTCTCACCCGCCGTTGCACTTAGCTCTCACTTCACTTCTATTGTTTCGCCTTCCCTCATTCTATTTTGGCACTGTATTTTGTTCTCGTAACACATCATTGAATGTATATTTAATCATTGTTCAGCATGGTTACTCTTCAGTCACGACTTTCCACTGATGAATGTGACAAGAAAATTAATTCTGGTAAACTTTCATAACTTCGTTGTAGTGTGGCGATAACTGCAGAATTTGTTCTCTTTACAGGGGCGTCGGAACCGGTGTGGCAGGTGCGGCCAAAGCCGCA